TACAGAAAATGAGAGAATGCAGAATACATGAGAACAGGAATACATGGAGAATACAGAATACATGAAAGAATGACACAATAAAGAATGAAAATACAGAAAGTAATACATCAAAGAATAAGAATACATGAGAGAATTGAGAGAATACAGAATCTTTTACGCATATGCAGAATACATGAAAAAACAAGAATTGAGAGAATATCGTCCATCTTTGCAGAATATTAAAGAATGTGGAATACATGAAAGATTGATTGAATACATGAGAGAAATTGTATATCACGGAATATCAACATACATGAAAGAATGGTTATTTGAGAGAATAAACATAATGCATAGAATTACATTTTTGAAAGAATGAATATTGAAAGAATGTACATTTTCGAGATAAGAATACATTTTGCGACAATGAGAGAAATACAGAATATTTAGAGAATACATGAGAATACATGAAGAGAAAAGAATACATGAGAGAATACAGAATACATAAATGTATCTGAAAGAATGCAGAATACATGAAAGAATGTGACATGAGAGAATACAGAATGCATGACCTACAGAATACATGAAAGAATCAGAATACATTCCCAGAATGCAGAATCCATTAAAGAATTCAGAATACATGAGAGAATACATTTTTGAAATGATTACATGAAAGAATGTTTACATGGAGAATACAGAATACATGAGAGAATACAGAATATTTGAAAGAATACATGAAAGAATGCAAAACGATTTTACAGAATGTAAGATACTTTTTGAGATACATAGAGAATACATTTAAATACGAATACAAAGAATGAGAATACATGAAATACATGAAAGAATGCAGAATGCAGAATACAAGAGAATGCAGAATACATGAAAGAATGCAGAATACATGAATACATTTTCGAGAGAATACAGAATACATGAAAGAATGCAGAATATGGGAATGAATATGTAGAGAATACAGAATACATGAAAGAATGCAGAATACATGAGAGAATACAGAATACATGAGAGAATACAGAATACATGAAAGAATGCAGAATACATGAGAGAATACAGAATACATGAGAGAATACAGAATACATGAGAGAATACAGAATACATGAAAGAATGCAGAATACATGAGAGAATGCAGAATACATGAGAGAATACAGAATACATGAAAGAATGCAGAATACATGAGAGAATACAGAATACATGAAAGAATGCAGAATACATGAAAGAATGCAGAATACATGAGAGAATACAGAAAGAATGGTGAATACATGAAAGAATGCGAATACATGAGAGAATACAGAATACATGAGAATGCAGAATACATGAAAGAGAATGCAGAATACATGAGAGAATAGAGAATACATGAGAGAATACAGAATATGAAAGAAAGAATACATGAAAGAATAAGCATCCCCATACATGAAAGAATACAGAAACGGAAAGAATGCAGAATACATGAGAGAGAATACAGAATAAACATGAGAGAATACAGAATACATGAAAGAATGCAGAATACATGAGAGAATACAGAATTTGAGAATTGACAGAATACATGAAAGAGAGAATATCTCAGATGAAAGAATGTTTCAGAATAGAATATGAAAGAATACAGAATACATAGAGAAAAAGAATACATGAAAGAATGCAGAATACATGAGAGAATTACATAGAGAATACAGAATACATGAAAGAATGTATAAATAATACAGAATACATGAGAGAACTGAAATAAATGAAGAATAGAATACATGAGAGAAAAAAAAAAAATGCAGAATACATATCAGAATATCCAAAACATGAGAGAATAGAATACATGAGAAAATGCAGAATACATGAAAGAATGCAGAATACATGAGAGAACTGAATACATGAGAGAATACAGAATACAAAAGAATATTGAAAGAATACACCTTCAATGAAGAATACAGAATACATGAAAGAATATGAATATATAGATATAGAATACATGAGAGAATACATAATATGAAAGAATAAATATATATATAATAAATATGAGAGAATGAATACATGAAAATGTATACACACACAATACAGAATACACACAGAATACACATGAAAGAATCCAACATATATATATATATATATTATAAATCATATTACCAAAAATCAAATTAACTACAACAAATTAAATATCTGGGAAGTGTTTAAACAGAGGACGGAATGGGCAACACTGACATCCGAAGACGCATTATCATTGCGAAAGATGCCTTCCAAATGCTAAGCAAAGTATTACGAAACAGAAAAAAATCGTTAGAAACAAAGAAAAGAGTACTGAACTGTTACGTAATATTAGTCCTCCTGTATAGCGATGAATGCTGGACAATGTCTACACAGATGAAGAAGGCAAATTTGCTTGTACAGAATGATGATCATAATACCATGGACTGAAGATATGAGCAACGAGGTAAATTTTAGAGAACTTTGGAATTAATGAAGAGACAACTGAAATAGTTAGGGGACATAATGGTATATGGGGGTTTGGCATAATTAATACTTACCGGATAAATTAAAAACAAGGGGCAAAGGGAAAAAAAACAATCCATAACCTACCTAGTGAGCATGACTAAATGGATGTCGGAACAAGGTCTTGCGGAGATAACAAAAAGATAAACATTTATTAGAAGCTGAAAATGACAGGAAATTGTGAACAGGCATGATGGCCAACGTTCCAAAGAGACACAATAGAAGAAAACAGTAAGTAATACATCAAAGTTAAATTTCGTACGGCCGTTCTTGGCGAGACTCTTCTTTTACGCATATGCGGTGGAATATTCCGCAAAACGTTTTATCGTCCATCTTTGCGTTATTAAAGATGGTGGTTCGTTTGGATTGATTGATTGATTGAATTGTATATCACGGCTTATCAACAACCTTTTTTGGTTATTTAAAGCCGAAACATATTTAGGAATTACATTTTTTGCGAGTGAATATTGAATTAACACTTTTTCGAGATAAGAATAATTTTCCGACAATGAAGTCATAATATTTAATGCATAGTTAGGGAGAAAAAGGACGGGTTCTCACCTACCCTAATGTATCTGCGCGTAAGTAAATGTGACGAAGAATGGAATGCGACCTCGCCTCCCGATTTCTCATTCCCAGATGCTATCCATTAAAATTTCCATACCCCCAGAGGTTTTTGATTGATTGATTAAATTGTTTCTTACGGTTTGTCGGCCATTTGTAGGTTATTTAAAGCCATAAAACGATTTTACAGATTGTAAGATACTTTTTTGAGATACTAATGATTTAATGCTAAAAGTCTAATCAACCCATATCTGGAAGCAGAAGAGGTGGATTCCTACCTTCTCCAAGGACATTTTCGCATAATGTGCAGTGGGGGATGGTAATGCTCCTCAGACCTTTTATCGACAACTTATGGAGCAACGTTCAACTGTACAGAGCCTGTACTTTTAATGTCATCCATAATTTTTCTATAGGGTTGAGGTCAGAGATTAGGCGACCATGTCATAAACTCACCTGTT